AAACAGCACTACATTATTTTTCAGAATAATTAATGTAAGTCTAAGCCAAATTGAATTCAATTAGAAATCTCTCTCTCTCCCCACCTACCCTCTCTCATAATGTGCATATCTTCGGATTCTTCCCCTGGGTCCTACCTTAATAAAGACTGCCTTGAACACCAACTGACCAAGATTAAAAATTAAATCAGCATAAAGCTTACGATGAACAAAGTTATACATTTTCTCAACTGAATTATGGGCAAATATGTGCAGGATGGAGTCAGTTGCTGGTACTGGAGAGACAGAGAAACAATTTCAAGAGTAAAGAATAGAATCCAGTATTTTCAACTTTCAATCACTATGCTTTTGGTCCTTAGGAAAATTATCTGCTGGCCATGGATTCAGTTAATAAAACTGAAAAAAAAAAAAAAAAAAAACAGAGTGCTAAAGTAATGACAACAAAACTATGCAAAACCAGAATCTATTTGCACCCAGGCAAGGGGATTCAAAGACTTATGATGGGGGTGGGGAGCCTTGTCATTTTTAAGTATTTCTATTAGCAAGTTATAAAAAGTCAAGAGAGATCAATGAGATCTTTTCTTCAGAAACTGTGGCAAAATCAACTGAAACCTGGGCTTAAGAATTCTCATTAGTAACATAACTCAGCAAATTATTGTTCCATCCTGTCTTCTTTTCCTCAGATTTCACATTTTTGAAGTAAACATTTCTATAGGAATGAATCCTGTAAGACCATATTTTCTGAATAGTTTGTTCTGAACAACATAACAGCATTTATATTTTCACCCCAGGTTTTAAGACACTATTTTGAAGAGACAGAAAAAGCAGAGACAATTGGAACTTGATTCAGTTGATGGCTTGGGTACACTGATTTATGAATTCTAATTCCGAATGGCTTCGTCAGTGAGCAAATACTCTGATTTCTTTTTCTACGATTGACTAAATGTTGCATACCTTGGGTTTTTGTATTTTTCAAATTTTCCAGTTTTTTAAAAATATTAGAGCAACTGACAATTTTTCCTAAAACTAGCCACGTTGCTTCATTGATGACCACTACAGTTTTGAGGTGTGTATTTATTCTGCCATTAAGTGCTGAAAACATGGGGAAATGGGGCCACCAGGGCCACACTTCTAACCACTCTGGACGTATTTCCAGTTTTCAGAATTGTGCTAGTCTAGCTGAAATAATGGGCCTGAATATTTCTGCATCAATTCTACTTTGGCAATCCACCAGTTGTCCTGAAGTCCTCCAGGGAATACGAATAACTTTCTGATTTCTCAGGTAACGTTGCTTTTGTATTATTCTTTTCACTTAAAAAAGAGGGTGTCCGTACATTCTATACAATTTGCTGCTTGTTGGAGCAAAAGTATCACTGAGCACAAAGAGCTTGGAGACTTGGGCTTCAAGCTCTACTCTCCTTGATTCATCTCTGGGATCCCCATGTTGAGTTCTGGCCTTTGGGTGGTGGGTGAGGGTCCGCGTGGGCACTGTGTGTCCCCGGGAGGCCCAAAGGCCTAGAGGACGTCAACCGAAGTGCTGTCAAATACCACGGGCTTGGCTTCTGAAAGATATCAGTCAACCCATTTTTGCACACCCTTGGCCTCTTCTTTCTTCTTCTTCTTCTAAGATTTTATTTATTTATTCATGAGAGGCACACACACACACAGAGAGAGAGAGAGAGAGAGAGGCAGAGACGCAGGCAGAGGGGGAAGCAGGCTCCATGCAGGGAGCCCGACGTGGGGTTCGATCCCGCGCCTCCAGGATCACGGCCTGAGCCGGAGACAGACGCTCAACCGCTGAGCCACCCGGGCATCCCACCCTTGGCCTCTTCTGTCCCCCTTCCCCGCAATGGGGAGGGCGTGGAGACCCCAGGGTTGAGCGCCTCCCGAGGAGGCCGAGGGGCCGCTCCCGGGGCAGGCCTGACGTCGGACCCTCTGTCAGTGGGTCTGGTCTCCCCGAACCGGGCTCTCCGTCTGTCAGTCCCAGGTGCGGACCCACTGCAAGCTCCGCGCAGGCAGAGCCTCGCGCCCCGGTCTCTGCTTTCCGCCCCCACGGCCGACGCCTGAAGACCCGCACCCTTCCTCGGCGCCTCCGCCCAGGTGAGCTACTGCCCCCCGCGCCGCCGCTCGGCTCGGCCGCGTGACCCGGTTTCGCGCGAAATGTGCGGGGCCCCCGCCCTGCGGCCTCGCGCGCGCTAATCGGCTCCATCTGCCTTCGCGGAGGTTCACCTGAGCCCGGGGCCCAGGGCGCGGACGGCCGAGCCCGACGGGCGGTCAGCGCGGGGCCGGGCACCTGGAGTCGGCGGCCCGGCGAGGGGGCGGGGAGCGCGGCGCACGCGGCGCGGCCCGCGTCTGCTCCCGGGCGGGCAGGACGCCCCCTGGCGCCCCCTCCGCCGCCGCCGCCGCCGCCGCCGGGGAGCTCCGGGAGCAGGCGCGGGGCGGGGCCTGGCGGCCCGGGGCCTGACGTCGGCCCGAGGCCGCCGGTGCCCGGGGTCCGCCCGCGCCGCGGCCGCCCGGGGCCCTCTCGGGGCGGCGCTGCCCGGCGGCAACGGGCTGCGGCACGGAGCGCGGTCCGGACCGAAAGCCGAGCCCGCAGGTCCCGGCAGGTTCTGGGCGCGCCTTGCCGCGAAAGCCGGGAGTGTGTGGCGTCCCGGGCCCCCGCTCCCTTCCCCTCGTTTTTCTGGAGCTCCTGGAAGCCGGTTCCAGGGGAAAGGCGGGGCAGGGATCGACCCGGCAGCTCCTCTGATGTGGTTACGGCTTTGCTGAACTCCTCGAGAGCGATTCTCCCTCCCCGGCTTTCTTTAAGCAAAGGGAACATTTCTCTAGAGGGAAAGAGAGATGGGGGGCGGGGGGGGGGCGGGGGGGGGCGGGGGGGGCTTGATCCCACAGCGGTGCCGCGCCTCCGCCTGCAGCTGCAGCCCTGAAGCCCTCGGTCGAGCGTGAGTCCCAAATACAACGCTGAAACCTAAATTCGATCACCTCCACACACGCTCAAGTCCTCATCTCCCCGGGCCTCGGGACTGCGCCCTCACGCAGAATTTAAAGAGTTAAAGCTGGCCATAGCTCGTTGTTTTTCATGCTAGCATTTGTGGCATTAGGACTATTTTGTTAACTAGGTATATGCAATTCACAGAATTTCACGGTAAATTCCCCAGACCAAATATTTGGCTGAACAAATAAACAACATTATCCATTCCTGAAAATAAGCCAGTAAGAAGGAGGGGGTGGGGGTGGCTGGGGCGGGGTGGGGGGGCAGGGTGGTTGCTAGAAAGTGACCTGAGCCCGGCGGCCACCAGGCTGAGGATTCGCCCTCTGATAATTTGTCCAAGTGGGTAGAGATCTGCGGGTTCCTTTCCAATAACACGGACATTTCAGAAAGTTGCTGGAAATCGGGCAAAACAAATCGAGGCCGCCTGAGGGGAACCCGTAATGGGCTTCCCCTAAATGATTTATTCGACCTCCATACCATTAATCAAAGGGGCAGCGACCTGGGGGGCTAGGAGAGGGGGAGAATTATCCCTCTTTGCAGGGAGTTTTGGAGGAACTGTGGAGTCTTGCTGCCTTTGCCTGGGGCTCTGATCTCCTCTCTCCACCTGCGCTCTCCGGGGAGCTGGGGCTTTGGCAACCGCTCCACTTCTATTTTTATTGGTTTCCACTAAGCTGCTCCTTTTGGAGGATTGTAGGACTTCAGTAATTAAAAACAAAAATGAATCCTGCTTCACCTACCCCACCCCCAAGAGCACATGGAAGAGCTGTGTACATGAATGAAGGGGGTGCGCGCGCACACACACGCACTCCCACTGGTACCTACACCTTCATGGAAGGAGAAATGCTCTCCTATCAGCCCACCTCACACAGACTTTACAAAGACGCAGCATTTGCCTCAAGCCTACCCATGCCTAGGTAGGAAAAAGTACACATGGTAAGAAATGAACCTAAGCAGGCTAACATTCCAAGGCTTAATTTAGTTGCTAGTGGCCAGTAAGGAAAAGCAAAAGTCTCTTCCTCTGGTGCCCTTAGCTTCTAGATCCACATCATTCCTGAAAGCCAGTTCTCTGCCTTACTGGCAGCCCCTAACTGAGGGATATTCCACTCATTAGCATTTTCCTTTTTGGCCAAAACTTGAGCTTTCTCCTTGAAGAAACCCTGGCTCAGAACAGCACATCCACTGGCTATTTCTTTCTGCCCAGTTCTAGGGAAGGGGAGCTGGCATTTGACTTGAGACTGCATAGAGGACAATGCTTTCACGGTGACTACTTAGGAATTTTGATCCTTCAGTGTCTGATCCCATTGCCACCCAGCCCAATCTGTTAGGATTTTGAACTCCATGAAGGCCTTCATGTGGGGAATAGGAGACAGGGGATAGAGTCAAGAAACACTGGCGAATTCCACCACTTGGTATATTAAAACGGTGGCCACCAAACTTTTTTCAAATGTAAGGTGTGTTATTTGTTCTGCTGAATAAAACCCACATCACCCCCCACCCACCTTGTTAAAACACACATACACACAAACACACATGTGCAAATTAGTTTTGGTTTGAAAATACAACATTCATGCCTGTAATAACTGGAGACCCTTTAGGGTATCATAAAAGCTGCGGTGGGAATTATTCCCTAGAGCTGAGACTCTATCCATCAGGCTCAGCTGGGACGCACCTCTAACAGGTGAGCAAAAACAAAAGATGTACTAGGAGCCCAAAACTGAGTCTTTAATCTGGCCTACTCCTTTCATCCCACTGTTTCTCCAAGGCATGTGTCATCCAGATGGGAGAGGATGCTGCGTCCTTGTTAACATTAAATAGAAATGGAAAACAATTCATCCTGGCAATTACCATCTCTCTACCATCAGTTTACTTCCTGCCCCTCCAACTTAACCACCTCCAGTTACCACCCTCTGACTTCCATCCTGTCCCCAGCCCCTCCTCAACAGGAAAAAAAAAAAAAAATCTCATTCAAAAGAGATGGGGGCAGAAGAAAAAAGGATTAAAGAGAAAAGGACAGTTTACCTTTAAAATAATGACTCATTTTATTTTTTCTTTTAATATGTAGTTATAAATATATTTTGTCAAAATATATGATCAATATGGTCAAAACATTTGCACGTAAAGTCATAAATAAGGTCAAGGTGAATGTTTAGGTTTTTTTTCCTCTTTTTTTTTTTTTTTTAAAGATAAAAGTCCAGCTATAAGGAAGCAGTCTGTGTAGTGTGTGGGTGAGTGGATGGGAACATGTGTGTCCCCAAGGGCTGCCTGATCTCAGCGACACCCACATCCCTCTACTACCATCTCCTGATAATTTTTCAGTACCACCTTGTCATACTCATCCAGGTACAGCATGGAGATGGCACTCAGTTCGGTGGGTACACAACAGGCTTTGGGGATGCTGGAGTTGACAGAGTTGACCAGGGTCTGCACAATGGCGTGGTTGGTTGAGTTGAGGTGGTCGGCCAGTGGAAAGGGGCAATCCCCGTGGCAGTAGAAGGCCTGGTAGCCTGGCGGGGCCACAATCCAGTCATTCCAGCCGACGTCGCTGAAGTCCACATAGAGCGAGTGGCGCCGGCAGTTCTTATTCTTCTTGCGGGCCCGCTGTGCATGATGCTTGGGGCTACGCTTGGCCCTCTGGCGTCGGGTCAAGGCATGTCCGCGGCCATCGTGGCCAAAAGTGACCAGGAGGGGCCGGAGCTGGGCCCAATCCCCACTCCCTTGAGGTAACGATCGGCTAATCCTGACGTGCTGGCCCTGGTGGGTCCGTGTCTGATGGAGGTGAGTCACCTCAATGGCCAGCCCGTAGTTTGGCTGCTTCTCCCGGGTCCAGCGAAGGACCGCAGGGCTCACATCAAAAGTTTCCCACCGTGTCACATTGTGGTGGACCAGTCTTGTGTCCAGTAGTCTTGTGATGAGGTGCCCAGGCACCACTTCTGCCGGGGGCTTCATAACCTCATAAATGTTTATTCGGTGGAAGCCCTGCTCCCAGTCAGGGTCCTGGTTCACCTGCTCCCGGAAGAGTCGAAGCTCTGCAGAGGAGATCACCTCGTTCTCTGGGATGCTGCTGAGGTTAAAGAGGAAACGAAAAGCAGAGTTTTCGCTGGTCCCTGGGATGTTCTCCAAATGTTCTAGGCGCAGTGGAGGAGGAAAAGAAAAAGGGAAAAGAAAAAAAAAAAAGGCACATTAACTTTTGAGATCAGAAAGTCAAGAAACAGCTTCAGTCAAGAAGCTTTGGGTGATGGGCAGTGAATTCTGTTTCCATAGTGGAAGCCTATTTGGGGAAATGAGCCTATCTTTTCATTTGAAGGAGCAGATAAACGGGCAGCTAGCAAACCAGCAAAGCTTAGCCAGCATTCGGCAAGCACCAAAGACAGAAAGTATCTCCCAACCTCCTTTATATGTCTAATAATTTCCATGTGTCAACTCCTTACTCCACCACCATCAGACTCCCCTTTTAAAGCTCTCTTGGCTTTGTGTACAGTTTTCTTTACAAGTGGTTATAAAGAAAAGGGGGGTGGGGTGGGTGGGCAACAGAGCAGAGGCAGGAGGGAAACATGCACACTACCACCCTCTCCCTCTTCTTCCACTTTCGAGTATGTTACTAAACATTTCCCCAGCGATCTTGGAAACACAGAGCATGCCTTGTTGATCATGTTACAGAGGGGAAAATAAATTCCAACACAGTAATGATGCTGGTGGATTAATAACTCAGATTTACTTTGGAAAAGAAACATCCGCTAGGAAACATTCAGATCGGATTACAAGGCCCCTATTGAATAAACCTACAAACACACAGCTGTAATATTAAATTCAGTAGGTGCTTTGAAAAAAAACGGGCAGAAAACCTGGCAGAAAAGGCTTTGATATAGCAAAAACACACCACAAGGGCTAGCCCACGTCTGAGTGGTGTCATTCTCCTTCCCGGGAACCCTTCCCCTCAGTCTCCAAAAAATAAATTCAGCCACAGCTCTTGGAGGTAAGCAGCTCTGTTTGCCCGGGCCGCCAGGATTTGGGGCTTTGATGTAACCTGAACCCTTCTCCCCCAGGGCTAACACTGCCCCCCACCAACCAGCCCTACTGGCCCTCCCCCACCTGGGACTCTCCGCAGGGACTGACCTTCGTGGTGGAAGCTCCTCACGGTGTTGGCCCTACTGGCGGGGCGCTCAGGGTACTCCAGACCGATGCTGTGGATCTGCTCTTCCTCCTCCTCCTCCCCAGACTGGAGCCGGTAAAGATCCCGCATGTAATCTGGGATGACGGCGCTCTTGCTAGGCTGCGGGCGGCGGCGCAGCCCGAACATCTGCAGAAGCGTAGCCTCGAAGTCCCGCAGGAGCTCATGGCTCTGCCCTGAGCGGCGTCCTCCCGCGTGGCCCTGAATCTCGGCGACTTTTTTCTTCCCCGTCTCAGGTATCAAACTAGCATGGCTCGAGCCTCCTAGCAGGACTTGGCATAATAAAACGACCATCAGCATTCGGTTACCAGGAATCATGGTGTCTCTGGGGAGGGGGAGGAGGTTGAAGGTTAAAGAATAAATAAACACCAATAACTAGAGAGAAATAGAGATGTCTCTGCATATGCATATAAGGCTAGTGATGGAGGGGCAAGACGTAAAGCAGGTCAGAAAGATCAAGTTTGTGTCTTCTCCCTCACACACCCCCACCACTACCAGCTGCAGCCATGCAAGGCCTGAAAGTAGGAATTGCCCTGTAATTACTTGGTCCAACTTGTTTACAGTCAAATAACCCCAAATCAGATAGCCTCCATCCTGTTAATCTTTTTTTGTCCCAACTGCTATCTGAGCCATGATCTCAGCTTGGTTTCTTCAAGGATAAACAGTTAACATTGAGGGGGTAAAACAGGGTGGGGGAGGGACGACTCCAGTGCCCTGGCTCTCCACTTCAGACCTTCAGCCTCTCTCCCTCTTCCTCCACCCCCCTTCTTCCTCCGCCCTCCGAGAGCCAACTTCCACAACTTCCAGCTGGTTCGGAGCGGAGCGGGAGGGTGGGCGAAGACCGAGGGCGGCGGGGTCCAGAGGCTGAGCCCGAGGACGTGGTCTGGGAGCTGACCGAGTTTGTGGCTTATTCTGCCGTGGCTGCTGAGTTTGAAATGCCCAGCAAAAAGCATCTGATCGGGCCCGCTCTCTCACTCCCAGGAAAGCGGGGGGCGGGAAGTGGGGGATGATTCCAAAGAGAGAGAGAGAGACAGACAGACAGACAGACAGACACCTCTGCTGAGTTTTGACAAGCAGCTGGGAACGAGCACGGGGGAGCCGCGTGTGTGTGTGTGTGTGTGTGTGTGTGTGTGTGTGTTTGCCCAGAAAGTACAACCAACCCCAGGCTGCGGACCTTTCATCTCTTTAGCCCCCTCTCGCTCCCCTTTCTTGCAACGCACACTATCTGAGAGTCCGAGGGGGAGCAAGCAGAACTTTAAACAAAACCGGTACGCTCAGAGCCCCGCGGCTGCCCGGCCAAGAAGAGAGCGACAGCGCTGCCAGAAAGCGGAGTGTGAACTCTGGAAAAAAAGAAAAAAGGTCCGACGGGAGGGACGCAGGGCGAGCAGGGGCGGGGAGGGCAGAGTGAGATCCCAGGAGGGGGGAAGGAAGAGGTGTCTACTCACTGACAGAAAACAAGGCATATAATAACAGTCCATGATTCTTGACAGCCACTCTTGAACAGACTTGCTGGAAAGGCTCAGAGGAGCTGCGGCGGTGCGTTGCTCTGGATGGCACTACGGAATGGCTCCTAAAATGAATATTTGAATATAATGAGAGTCTGGCGCAGACGGGCTCTGTTTTTCTTCCAGCCCCTCGGAGTCACGTGGACGCGGAAGCCCCGCCCCGAGCGCGCAGGAGCCCGCCCTTCCCGCGGCGGGCGGCGAAAGGGCCCGCGCGCCCTCCCCCGCGGCCCCGCCCCCGCCGGGAGAGGCCAACCCCCGCGCGGGCCGCCCGAGCCGCCGGCGGTCGGGGAGGAGCTCCGAGCCGCGCTCGCCGCAGCCCCCGGCCGGTGCCCCGGCGCCGTGCGCGCGGGGCGCGGGGCGCGGGCCTCGCTTCTACCTGCGGCGTCCGTGCCGCGGGCCGGGCCGTCGCGCCAGGGGCCTGCAGCCTGCAGCCTGCAGCCGGAGGGGCGGGGGCGCACGGCGGGGGCTGCGCCTGCAGCGCGAACGCCGCTCCAGTGGGGCCGTGAGCGGGGGCGGCGGCGGCGGCGGCGTCCCGGCTGCGCCCGGCCTCGCCAACCCAGGGGCGCTGACGGACGAACACGCTCGCGCGCGCCGCCACCTCCTCCCCCGGGCCTCCGCGAGGCCAAGTATTGCTCCCAGCGACAGCCAGTCCCGCGCGCCCCCCCGCCCCGGCGAGCGCCCGCGAGTGCTCCGACGAGCCGGGCGGGCGCTCGAGCTCCGGGCCGCAGGCCGCCGGCCCCGTCACGCACCGGGCCGGGGGGGAGGTGTGAGGCCGAGGTCGGTGTGGGAAAGTGGGGCGGGAGCGGCCCCTGGGCCGGTTTCCGCACTTGCATCTCGGAGGATCCCCGCACGGCGCCGGCCGCGGGGTGCACTCGGAGCGCAGCAGGTCCCCAAAGAAAGCGGTCCTCGAGCCATTCAAGGCGGGGCGGCGGACTCAGAGGGGGACGTCGCTGCGGAAAGGGCGCATCACAGGTTTCGGGGCTCCGTGTCGCCGAGGTTTTACCACTCCCCGACCCGGCGCGGAAAGGAAATCCCACTGCGTTCCCAGGAGTCGAGAAAACCCTGAACAGCGTTCGGCCTGCGCTCGACCTCGGCGTCGGCGTCTCTCCCTCTCCCTCTCCAGATTGTCTTATTTTTGAAACCACCACTCCTCCCCCCGCCACTTCCTTCCCCCACCCCCTTCCTCCTTTGCACCAGCTGCAGAGTCGCAGCAAATAGTTCTTCAAGACTCTTGCCGACCCACAGCTCAAGGAATCACGGGGATGTCCTGACTCTAACGGAAGATGCTGCGGGCGTGGGTCGTTCTGTGCGGGGGGGTGTGGGTGCGGTTCTCAAGACCCTGCCCCGCGCGCCCGGCCTCGGCCCCAGCCCGCCCCGGGGTCCGGCTCCCCAGGCCACCCGCCCTCCCTTCCCCGAGGCTCTTTCCAGTTCCAGCCCCGGGTCGCATCAGAGATGGAGGGCTCGGGCTGCCCGCCTGTCTCCCTCGCAAATCTGGTTTTCTTCTTGGGGGCAATCGCGGGAAGCCTTTGAGGAAGGCTGCATCTCGGAGAGGACCGAGCGCTCAGCCCTGGCTCCCCGCCCCGCCGGCCGGGCGTGGAGGCCGCGGGCGCCCCTGCGCGACCGTCGGCGCCGCCCGAGAGCCGCGCCGCTCCGGGAGCCGCTCTACGGCTTTCCCGCTCCCGCGCCACAGCTGGAACCGACTGCGAAAGGGCTGGGAGAGCAGACGAGGGCTTTTCAGACGCCCGGACTCTAAAACTGCCCGTGGGAGGAGGGGTAGACATGGGAAACGCAGACGGAGAGGAGCCAGTCCCCGCGGGGGCGAAGGGCCGGTGGAAGGGGCGCGCGCCCGGGACCCCGGCTCCCCTCTGCCCCTAGGAATCTCCCCCGCCGCCGGCGGGAGCGCGCGGCGCTAGAAACGCGGAGGCTGGACGGAGAGCGGGTGGTGGTTCAATTTCAGATTCCGGAGGATTCGTCTCTAATCACGCAATTCCACCCCCCCCCATTTTTTCTTTAATTAAAAAGGACGAAAGCCCAAAAGGACGTTCGTCTCCAGAACTTTTTCTTGGTGGTGGTGGTGGTGACAGGGATGCAGCTCGTGGCGATTGTCCTTTACTTCCCCACCAGAGTCTTCTGACGCCGGAGTTTGCCCAGAGGTGGCCTCAGTTTACCAAATCTATATATTTTTTTTGGGGGGGGGGGTCTTAACGTTTCACAAAGCTTTCAGCCCACAAACTCCGATCCTCACAGTGCATCCACCTAAGCGGTGCCCAGGAAGCGTTTGAGGCCTCGGGCCCAGCTCCCGCGGGGAGGGACCCGGGAATCCTGGAACCCTTGCCGGTCGGCTCTGGCCTGCAAGGACCCGCAAGAGCCCCGGTGCGCAGCGGGTCTTGCCCGCGACTCCCCACGGGCCACGACACCGCTGGAAGACGCGTGCCCGGGGCGCCAGGCATCCCCACCGGCTTCCTCACAGACCCTACACCAGGAAATGCTAGGGGAGAGGCTCCTTGGATGCTGCAAGTTCACGACAGCAGCTCGTGCCTAAGGCGCGTCGTGCACCGCAGTTCGCGTGCTCCCAGGGCTCCCGCCGGCTGGGGGCCGGGTCGGGTGACACTCCCCTCGACGCAGCCCCCCGGGCGGCGCGCGGTCTCCGGAGGCGGCAGGACCGCGCTCCCCGCGGCAGAACCAGCCCGGGTTAGGTGTTCTTCCTCCACCTCGCGGTCCCTCGGCCCCCTCCCGCTCTCCGGACCTCGGAGCCCACACTCCTTTCTCTCCCGGCCCTTCCCGTCCGGGGATCGCAAACGCCAGGGGCCCCGCAGCGCGTTCCGCTCAAGACCTCACAGTCTTTCCCAGCGACCCCAACTAAGGCTCCTCTTCTTCCCATCTCTTCTGCCCCGAACCTACCAAAGGTGGAAATCACCCGGGGCCGCCGGACCGAGCAAGTGGCCCGGGTAGAGGCAGTAGCAGATGTGGGGAAGTGTCTTTGGGCGCCAGCATCCCTACCTCTAGCACCACCGTAGGGGGATAAATAAGCCACCGATGGCTGTGGCCAAAGGCTGAGCCCCCCGCTGTCCCTCCCCACCAAGGATGCTGCTCCCCGGGGCCCCCTCTGCCTGGCACCCCTCGCCAGGTAGCCTTGCTCACCATAGGTCCCTGCAGCAGCGGGCTCGCCAGCAGCAGCTCCTGGGGACCTCTGAACGGCTGCAGTGAACCCGGGCAAGGGCCGAGGACTGGGGCGCTGCTGGCTCGAGACGGCGCGGACGGGAATCCCATCAGGGAGGGAGGCGAGCTACTCAGCCCCGAGCGCTCAGAGCGTCTCAGGCTCCCGTCCCTGGGCTCGGATGCCACACTCACCTAGCTTCCGGGCAGGGCTCCGCTCTCCTTCCCTCCCTCCCGCCTCCTCTGCCCTCGTGCATCTTCTCCTACCCCTTCTTTCCCTCGCTCTCTTTCTTTCTTTCCTTCCTCCTCCTCGTCCCCGGCAGCCCCTCCCTTCTTCCCTCCGCCCTCGCTCGCCTCCCTTTCTGGGATGGGAGCCCCGCCCACATCCTCCCATCCAGCCGCCGGGCCTCGCCTCGCCTCGCCTCGCCTCGCCTCGCCGGCCCGGGTCCCGGAAGCCCGGGCTGCGCCGGAGTCGGCAGCTGTTGCCCGGGCCAGGCCGGTGCTGCTTCCAGCTCGGGGAAGCGGCCGGGGCTCACCTGGGGACCACGTGCAGAGGTACTAGAAAGCATGCACCGACTAGTCGCCGTACCTTCCAAAAATACCCATGGGAGTCTGGGCTTCCCCGAGTTTAGAGTAACTGCTGCCCAAACTGATGATTAAAACACTGAGTAATCACCATTTACCCCGAGTAATTAGAGATAATGAAACACCTCTAAAATCAGGTTATGGAAAAAGGAGCTGTTGGATTGGTTTGAAGGGTAGCCTTCCATAAACTGTTAAAGGATTTCCAAACAGTGAGAAACAGGCTGTGCGAAGGACTGTGGGCTCTATGAGGTGCCTCTTTGGCTGTTGAAAGGTGTTTTTCCTTCCAAAACTTTGTTTTCAATGCTTCTTGTGGGAAGCCTTGGCGATGACCCCCAGAAGGATGGTCCCAATAAACAGTCCGGTTCCCTCTTCCTCCCCAGGCCTAACACTTTTGAGGACAGAGATGGCATGGAGACAGGCCGGGGCCATATTTTTACAGTAAGAAAAGCCTGCTTATTACCACTCAGAAACTCTCTTAAGAACCACCATAAGAGGTCATTTTTGTTGTTATTGTTGTTTATTCGTGGCGCACCTGGGAATACTTAATCTCAGCAAACTGACCTTCTGAGGAGGTAAACCAGCCACCAAACCAACAACATTTTTGTCCACAGGGACACAAGAGAGGATACCCTTTGTTCCGTTTTTAAAGGAAGAAAGGAGTGAGGAGTTGGCCCTTTCCTACAAGAAAGTGCTAGTAATTATATTAGCAGGGAGGTGGAATGTGTGCTTAAAACCTTCCCAAACAGGAGCTAATTTCACACAGTGTCTCTGATAGAGATGAGGCAGGACATAGCAGCCTCATCTCTCTGGTTTGCAAACACGGAAGGGGAAGAGCAGCCAGGTTAAAGGAACTTGCCTAGAGCCCTGAACTAAATCACAGCCTCTGCTCTGGAGTCCGGAGCTAATACTGCAGGGCGGGGCTGAGGGCCACAGCCCTGAGCTCCAGGTAGCCTGGGGAGTGCTGGAGGATGGAGCCTCTCCTGCCCTGGATTTCTTATCCTGCATCCATACTACACTTCACCATCCCAGCAAAATGTTTAGGTCTTTACTTAAACAGGTATTGGTCCTAGGGGCTTTATCTATAAAAACTTTTACATTTAGATACCTTCAATATTTAGAAAACCTACTTCATTTGTGGAACACAGATTACCAAAGGTTGGAATTGGAAAAAATCTGGGGAAAAACTGTGAGAGCAGGGCCAAGGCGTCCTGCCATCTTTTCCAAGTTAGGCCTCTGAGGTCTTTTAGCCCAATAATGCCTCAAACCACAGAAACAAGCTGTATGGCTTTGAGCATGTCCTTGAATTCCTGTGGGCCTCAGTTTTCTCATCAGCAGAATGAAAGGATTAGGACAGTTTCCATACCCCTTTTCCATTTGAAAATGATTCAATTTTAATTGAAATCATTAAACATCTATCTTCTTTTTTAAAAAAGATTTTATTTATCTATTGGACAGAGAGTGAGTGTGTGAGCACAAGCTGGGGGACAGCAGAGGGAGAGGGAGAAGCAGACTACCCACTGAGCAGGGAACCCTGGTACCCCAGCTCCACGTCGCTTGATCCCAGGACCTGGAGATCACGACCTGAGCCTAGGGAGACAGATGCTTAACTAACTGAGCCACCCAGGTGCCCCCATCATCTTTCATTTAAAATCACACATAAGCCCACCTTTTCTAAGAACCTCAGATTAAACAAGGCAGGGCAATACCACCATCAAGAAAGGACTGATAATATACCTCCAGCTTCCAACGTAATCAGAATTACATCAATCTTTTTAAAAGATTTTATTTTATGTATTTGAGAGAGAGAAAGCCACCATCCAGCAAGAGGAAGAGAGAGTCTCAAGCACACTCTGCGCTGAACTTGGAGCCAGATACCGGGCTCTATTTCATGACTCTGAAATCATGACCTGAGCAAAAAAAAAGGGTCAGAAGCTCAACCAACTGCGCTACCCAGGCACCCCTAGAATTACAGCAATTACTAATAATAACAAAAGAAAATTAAAACTCCATTAAATAGTTACCTAATGTCCATCCTGAGGCTAAAGGAACACACTGCCTAGAGTTAGGACAGATTAAATGTTCACCAAGCCCCCCAAAACAACCAGTATCATTTTAAATCATTAACAAAATGTATTCCTTAATATTTAAATTCAAAACAACACTGATATGCTGTGTTTAAAAGTAGGGCTTTATTTTATTTTAAGGCACAAGATAATAGGTGTTTTTTTCTTTTAATCCAAATGCTTTTGGATCATTGTTATTGTCTCATTTTGCTGAAGTCTAAATAATAAAGTGGCCATTGGTCCACCCATGAGTGTGAGAAACTCACAGTCCAGGAGTTTCTAATGAAGACACCTGACATACCTTGTTTAGAACCCCAATATGAGTCTTTAGATGTGTGATGGAAGAACTCAGCTTCAGTTCTTTTTGGACAGTTTTATTTCTAGCCCACATTGTAAACAGTGCAAACCTTCTATTAGCGCCTCTTTTTACTCACTTTTCTTTTTCTTCTTACTCCCAATTTCTCATGCCAAAGAAGAAAGTACCTGCTGGTTAGAGAACTAAATCCATCACAGCCTAGTGATCTGAGTTAGTGAGGGAAATCAGTCCCTATCTCAAGCTTACTTGTGAACCTCGCTGTTTTTATAGAATATAATATAGCTGGACCAAATGAAGCTGTGCTCTTAAATCATCTAGATTGGGAGGAGACATCTATTGTAATTCAACAGTTAACTATTGCTCTTCCGCTGCTACGGCTAAATGAAGGGCGTTTGTTTGGGTTTTTCCTGGAAAGCATTATGGAAGAGTAGCTAGACAGCAAGTTCTTAGGACATCCTTTCTCAAGGGTGAGGAACATAAGCTTCAGAACAAGGCTGGAGCCAATGCTGAAAAATGCAGATTTCCCAGCTCTGCCTCCCTGAGATCTACATATTGCACAAGGTTCCCTGATGATCCTGAGCACACTAAAGCTTGAGAACTACTGTTTTAAAAAGTGATTTCACTTATTTTCAAGGCTGGTAGATACCACTAAAAGGCTGATACCTAGATGTTATTAAACAGGCAAGGAATACTCTTGGCATGTGCTTTATAAACTGTTAAATATGGTGATTATAGTATTACTATGCCCAGAACACACCAAATAGGTCTTTGCAAATGAAAAGATTTCTAATCCTCTGGGTGTAGTAGTCCTTACGTCTAGGTCCTTGAGTCAGAACCAGATCAAGTCATCAAACCTTCTTTGCCAATTAAGTGTCAGTTGAAGCTCTGGAGAGATACTTTGAATGAATCCCCAGCATCACTGCTGACTTTTGAGAAAGAGTAAGATAGATAAATTGGAAATGGAATTACAAGGGAACTCTGAAACTGGCCAGGACCATTCGTTTTTACCATTTGTTGTTATACATTTGCAGTCTGGTCCTCACAACTGTCATAAAAATCCTTGTTCTACAGATGAGAATCTGAAATTTAGAGGGGTCATATGAATTTCTCAAGGTCACAGAGCTAGTAGGTTGGGGACCCAAAATTCAGACCAGGCCAGTTTGCCTCCACCTCCAAATGCCATTAGCAGGTCTTGCAGAGGGATGGACCCCCATGGCCACAGCTTCTGACTAGACAAGGCTTGCACTGGAGGCTTTCCCAAGGCCAAGGCAGCTGCGGCTCTACCCTTGCAGCATGCAGTGACAGAGAATGTCAGGATTTCTTCCCAGGGCTCAGAAGACAGAACAAAATCAAGACCTGGAAGCTTACCTCTTAGGGATTCTTATTACATAGCCCACCTTAAGGGAAAACTTTATGTGAACTTCCCCAGGAGTAAAAGTCCTGATCTTGAGAAAGACGTTGCTTACCTCTGATGGGTCTCCTCATTGTCTCCTCTCCTCTCCTCTATGTAAATGTGAGAACTGAGCAAGTTCCTCACAGGTCTTTCTCACAGGTCTTTCTCTTTCCCCACAAAAGAGAAATAGTATATCTGCTAGCTAAAGCCATGGTCAAATGCCTAAACCTCCAAACCTTGGTTTGTTCATTTCTAATCTGAGAATAACAATTTCTATTTCATAATATTCTTATAGGCATTAAATGAGTTAATTAAATAAAATGGCAGGCATAAAGTGCTCAGCAAATATTAGCTATTATTTTTCTTCACAAAGGTAATGATTACAAGAGCAAAGTAGGTGAAAAGTCACTCTGGCGCTGAGTTTTATTTATTTATTTATTTAGTGATAAACTTTTTAAAGGAAGGGGTTATAGCTCACATTTATTTTATAATCATTGAGGCTGTACACATAAGGGATTGATTGGATAAAGGCTGTTTACGTGAATCAGCACGCATCGAGTTACTATTCATTATGATTTGTCTGTATGAGTCTGACCTATGGACAAATCTCTGCCAAGATGACTAATCACTGTCAAAGTGGACAGGCATTAACTACTGAGAGCAAAGAACTACTAGGCTAGATGACATCTGAAACATTTTCCATCTCTGTTTTTTCCGATCTCTAACAGCTCTGACTTTT